GTCTGTCATACGGTAAATGCCTGGCCAATGGTATGCCAATCCTTGAAGTTAAGTTGTTCAACGTTTCGAACACTGCCGGCTTGAAAGAATCATCATTTAGCAAGCTTTTCCCCTACCAAAATTCAGGAACCAGGCTTAAACGAGTTATTGTATGGACGACACGACCTATATTGTACCTCCGCGTAAGGTCAGACAAAGAAAAGAGGTTTGTACTCTCGCTTAGCGCACCTTGGCCCGATAACTGTGAGCAACATAATGTCTTTATCATTTACATAATTCTCTCAAAAAGAAATCGCCCCTTGATGAGACTCGGTATGTGAACTCGGCCAAATTGTTTTGCAAAATCTCTGTGATACTTCGTGAAGGGCTTCTATGCGTGTAAGGAAGGCTGAAGAATGGTGGTTTGTCCAAGTCTAACAATCATCCCATCATACTTTCCAGTCGACATCCCGTGACACGTTGCTTGATTAGACACTAACATGATATGGAAAGACGTATGGGCACATCGCAGCTTAAAGGCTTGTGCGTAGGTATTTGTTATGTAGGGCAAGGTCGATTAAGCTAGCGGAACAGTTAATGGAGAGCTTAGCGCCCTGTAGAGCTGAACCCGATTACATTTTTATCATCACTGGTGGGGACTAGTTTGTTCCCCTTATTGGCACACGATGGAGGACAGTTGAGGAAGTGACACGAGTGTATAATCTTCCGTCCGAATACCTGTGCATTTCACACCAAGGAAACCTCACTATTATCGACTGCCTCCTTTCGGCATTTCACCAAAGAAAATGCGCAGTGACCAAGGGAGCAACTTCGTCTGCACCAAACTAGAATTTCGGCAAGTTCTAAAATCGTTAAATTGCGATCCCATTATTGAGGGAATCATGGCCCACGGGACAGAGTGGCATTCCAATCCACCATATAGTGAAGGAGTATGGGAATGTTCGATACGATCTACCCACCGAGTGCTGGGCGCGGCCTCCCGCAAAAATGTGTTGACTGACGAATCCATGTCTACCCATCTCAATAAAGCGTACTTTAAGTAACCGTTCACTTACGCCTGCCGACGATGATCCAGACTTATTGAACGCACTGACCTTGAGCCATTTGTTATTATTGCAGGGGTGGCTTGATTTGTCAGGTTTTGTGGGACAGATGTACCCGATATTGGAGACGATGGAGGTTATTAACCAATACGTTTTGGCATTCATGGTTAAAGTGCACCTTCGCTTTTGCAGCTATGACACAAGCGGACGCGAAACCGTTGAGACATTTTAGTTCCAGATTTTCATGATATAGCGACAAAAATCCAAGTCGTGGACATCAAAAGAAAGACATCACAGTAGGGAAGAAGCCCGGAAGTGATGGCCATATCCGAAGAATGTTAATGAAGACTGTCTCGGGTAAAGTTGGGCGAGATACGCCTCGCATCTCCTTGCTGGAAGGAGTGGAATTGTAGCTACCCTTTCGCCACACACATGACTGTACAAGTCACCGACACTCGCCAGATCACGAGATTTGTCTTTTTTCTTACACTTACAAATCACGCTACAGAATAGTGACTCGCTTGACTGCACAGCTCACAGTAAGGCCCTTGATCCCAAGACTCGTCTTCCTTTCCCTACATGTACAAATCATGACAGGTAAGGGTGACTCATCTGACATAGACTGTCTACCGTCCGATAAGGTAGCAGCAAGTCATGTGCTGACACCCACACACGCGTAAACGTCCCTACACATAGGACTACAGCACAGCAACACAACACAACTCAACAGAGCTTCGCACGTCGCCCAACTCGGAGCAGAGCCGCTCAGGATTTGCGGCGCTTCAATCACGGATACTCAGGAATACGTGTGGCTGCTACAACAGCGAAGAAGACATGAAACCTGCATCCGGACTTACAACAGGATTTATCAACCTGTACCCGCAAAACGATAAGTCCCTTGTTTGCATATGTACCTGTTGTAATAAGTTTGCTCAACAAGCACTTGTGCTCCCCGTTTTCTCGTTCATACGACTGGTTTTCGGGTTCAGTGTAGCATTTACAGAAGGCAACTGGTTGCTCACCCAACCTGGATGCATGTTCTGGATCGAGGGGGGTGTTTGTGGCCAGAGCAATTGCGCCAGTTATGTTGATGTAACTTTTGCATGCCGTGGACTGGGTTGACAGAGCAGGGAAAGGCATGCTGGCTTTGGGTGGCGGTGTTGATTCTTTTCTATTATTCTTATGTTGCACCACGCGATTCCTCATTAGGTGTTATCTCACTTTTGTGCCTCTACCGTTTTTCATGCTTTTGACCTGAACGTGAAGAGTGTTTAACCTTGTCAATGCACGTGTTATTTAAGCTTACACGTGGTTTCTTCAGCTTGTAAACACGCTACCTTGAGCCGTTGTGGACTCTGGTGTCTGGTAGGAGGTATCATTCCCTAAGCCCTTTTGTAGAAGCCGGCGAAATCACAAAATCTAAGGTTTCCGTGGTTTTATTGTCTTATTACCTTAATTCTTGCATGGCATTTGTGGATAAACATCTATTTGAACGGTTTGGCCTTTGAGGATTCGCGTGTAACTCAGCGTGGTTCGATGGATTGTTGGAAACAATATATCCGTATTGTTTGATTCTCCTAACGATAAACCCAATAATTACAACGGTACTATCAAGTGATCGGTGTACCGATGAAGGTCAAAGCCTGCGGTGCACTTGTTGTAGCGTACGCTGGCCGTCACGGAACAATGTAAAACAGTTACCAGCCGAGACAATTTGGCCGTCATTGATATATGAATTCCGTACCCGTGGTGGAAGTTATGTGCATTCAAACAACCTTCAAAAAACCGCTCTCATATGGGGAAAATTTCAGCGTTTGGATAAACATCACGAAATGCTAAAATTCATGCTAAAGACTTTTCTGTCCAGTCTACGATGTCAGAAAATTTTAGGGTGTGTCCAGAGATAGGCGTCGTTGCCCCAGAGAACGCCGCTCAGTATTTGTACAATGGAATTGATTCCTGGAAAGCTACGACACTTTCAGGATTGCCGCTTCATAGTGCAGAATGAATATCCATAATGAATTATCCTGCAAATTATCTACAAGTGACCGAAACGCTCAGGCCGTCATCTAACACCCAATGTGAATACGTTGCCTAATGTAACGAGGTTTTGCGACTTGTGGAAAATGGTGAATTGCTAACAGTGGACGGTACTTGAAAAACGTTTTGCAGCTAAAACATTCTCTGAGCTTTTCAGGAAATACATAACCTTTGTGAATACAGAATATGCCGAGTGCCACCCCTGTAAATAATTTTCCAAAAATCATCCTCATCTGCCGTCACTTATTTGCGATTTGTTTTAATTGATCTCCTTCTAAAATTTTTGGCGCACAGTTGGCCTTGAGCTTTGTGAGCTCTGTCTTCGGAGGGGGCATTTGAGAAGTCCTTAAATCAATACATGAATGATAACATTGTGGTATTTTTGTGTTCACATAGTAATCGAGGCACCAATGCTGTTTTGCGTTACAAATGGGTGTACCACAAACGCAGCAGGCGCCCTCCAAGACCAACGGAAAGCCGGAGAATCCGAAGAAGCTAGTAAGCCGTGCGTTTTTTCCGATAAAATGTACGTGGGATACCATATGTCCGGTGCGGTTTTGTCTACGGAGGCAGAGGAATCAACTGGCGGTCACCTCTTGGTTTCTTGAACACAATCACAAGTTGTCAAAGTTTCTGCACGACCAGCTTCCAGTTAATTGACGGCTGACCGAAGACAAGTTGGACACCTGCAAGCCCCTTCTGATGTATGGAACGCCCTAATGTGAGGTGCGGCAGTTTGTGGCGGATGAATTCGGCTAGATTCTTACAACTCGGGGCATATACAACCTACGTGGAAGTGTCGACCGGGTATGTTGAGCAGGGGCCGCATAGTTGGGTTTTAATGTGGCAGATGATATGCCTTCGGTCCTGGCAAAACTCCGGGAGACCGGACGCGTCCTTGTGTGCCAGTCAGAGGAAGGTCACTAAAGCCACATATGCTTCTCCCGATGGTAGCAGGCAGCGTAATTCCGACGCTTTCCTGCGCCGCAACGATTCTCGGTTTGTCTCCTATCTTACGGCCCGCTGGCTGTACATAACCCGAAGATGGGCCATTCACGCACAGTCCGGAATGGTTAATTTTGGTAATGTGACGAACAACCATGTGGAAAATGCAAACGGCCGCCTTAAAGACCGTGTACACCACTCCGACAAGTTAAAGCGTGCAATTCAAAAGGTGTCCCGGCACGCCGAGTGGCCCATGCGGGAGTGCGAGCTGCATACGTAGGGTGATGGCTACGTTCTTAACGTGATCTGCCGAATGACAACATATGCATACCCTCTCGTTTTGAGGCAACTGGGACTGCGATTACCGAAGTTGCCATATGAAATTGTTGGAACAAACAAGATGAGGTCAAGCCACGTAAACTAACTTCCAGTTTGTGGTGCGAACACCCAGATGCTCCCAGACTGTTGACACCTCTGCTGGAGAATGCACATACCCTTTCTACCAGGAGATGTGGCTCCCCTTCATACACCCATTCTCTGTATTTTGAGATAAGTCCGCTTCGAGCAGTAAGAACTATTCATCATTGACTTTTTCTTAGCTTGCTTCCCAGTCCACCAATGATGGCTGTCGGATTACCACCTACCGGAAAAAGGTGTAGCCGTTACATTTGTTCCCAAACCACCGTCGACAGCTTTCGATGGCCTTCGTAAACAACTGAACCGAGTGATGGATAGGCTTCAGAGGCTGGAACCCAGGAGGGCCACAGCCATCTTTAAGCGATTGATTGTTCGAGGACAAATTCTACTGCGTCAAGGCGCAAAGTGTGCTATTGACGGCCTGCCGTTCGTGGTCGAGAAAACTGCACCTCAACCCAGATGGCGGTCTAGGAACGCAGACTTAAGCTTTTGTGTGCTGTGACCGGCCTTCTTCTAATAGTGACCGCTGGTGTGTAACGGATCGTGTATCATATCATGCCGACTGTTGTGGAGGTGAACCTTACCTACTGTGCGGTGATGCTCTTCAGGATTGTCCCAAAAGTGGGTCCACATGGAAATAAATAACTTTTGAGCCTACCAAGAAGACGCAAAGATGGCTTGCTACGCGTTCCGCAAAGGGAGCGTCTTATGATGTTAAATTGGACCGAAGCACAGAGTCCCAGCACAGAGCGTCCCGAAAGTCTGTGTGTGTGCGCGTGTTTTCGGGTCCACAGAGGAACTTCTCGACAGCCATGAGTAAATGTCTGACAATTATGACCCCATTCATTTCATGTAAGTCTCGTATTTCCTGAGAGGCGCAGTAAATAGGTGTGCGAAATAGCCACTGAAGATGGCATTGTGTGAACAGGCATCTACAACAACATGGTCACTGCAGTGCATTTTGGGGTAAGTATCTCTACCAGTTTGTTGGCCGCCCGCCTTATGGTGATATTTTGATAACCTAAATGGTATCTTCCTCTCATTTCAGGACGTCAATGGCCAAATGAGTACTCCTTAC